CCTTTAGAAATATCTGTAAGTTTGTTGTTATATTTTTTGTCAACGTCAAGAACTTTCACCATCTCGGTTATACCAACTTTCTTTGCTTTATGGAAATATTTTGGTTCAGCAAATATTGCTATTCTATAACATTTACCATTGTTTGTATAAAGAACTATTCTGTCAATGTATTTGTATTGTTTGTGTGTGTAAACTTTGTTCTGCTTCAATTCGAAGAGATACTCGAATACGTCCATCTTTTTATTCTAAGTAAAATGTCATTTCCGAAAAAAGAAGCGTGAGTGTTTCAAAAGGTTTAATGGCGGTGGCAGATGTGAAGTTAAATTCACCAACTCAAACAAACAGTCAAAGTGTTGTTGTCAATGTCAAAGACAGAGATGTTGAAGTGGGAAACCATACGAAGACGAAGATGGTATAACAATTGTTCCTGTAAAAGAACAACCAACATATCCTGAAGTTAGCAGAGACTTAAGTTCTGTTGCAGATATTCGAAACGACTACCAACAACTGAAAGACAAACTTCAAACTCAGGAGAAGATTTGTCAAGCTTTAAGTATAATGTTAAACTTGGTCGAACACAACCCTGTAAAAGTGAACTCATATGTCATTGCACCTCATGAAGTCTTGAAAGAACTATTGAAACTTTTGACAGAGGCAGACGATATAAACATCAAAGAAATAGAACCCGACATTAGTTGCTGTGGTGTTTCATATAATGTCATTGACAAGATATACGTTATGAAAGGAGGTGAAACGTTGAACTTAAAGTATAGTTTCCCAGACGTCAAAAAAATATTTGACGACCACAACATTCATTAAAATTTATTTGCTAAGTAAAATGTCAAAACTTCTTGAAAGATGTTTGAAGAAAAATAATATAGACTTATTTCATGTAAAGGACTTTACACACTTTTGACGATATGAAAGACCCTGTTTTGTTTGTTCGTGTAGACAAAGGAAAGTTCTATGTCTTTACAAAATATTTGAACTTCTTAGACAGAGAACTTCAAGAAACGCCATGTGAAAGTTTAGATGAAGTTCTTCTCCACTTTCAGAAAAACTTTTAAATATATATAAATGGCAGAAGATATAATGGTTTATACTATTACGACTAAAAACCCTGAGTCATATAATTCTATAACAACAAACTTACAAAGTCCTCAAGGACGATATTGTAAACTAACCTTAAACACAATGACGACTAAAGCCTGTTTTGCTCTTTTGACACCAGAAGACTTTATTGTTGTGAATGGTAAAAAATACTCCTTTGAAGATACTTACTCAGATATACCACCAACAGGTTTTGTTGACTTATTTAATACTTTAAGTACAGGTGTAACATGTGCTGCAACTAGAGCAGGTTTCATTATGTTTGGATGTCCGACTGAGTTTACTATAAACAATATGAGCTATAATACAAAACTTATTTCTGGTTTTTACTACCAACAGTTTCCTATAACAGGAAAAGGTGTCATACAAGGAATGTCTATTCCATTGACATTAACACACCAATCTTATATATTGTTTCAAACTTAGGTTCAAAGTGTTATTCGAATGTTGACAGAAACTATTATGACCAAAAGATACTTATGCGTATAAACAATACTCTCTGCTGGTTTGCCTATTGTTCATTCGAATGCAGAATTTTCAACCTTAGTGAACTCAAACACTTTGGCAGGTATAACGTTGACATTAGTTGACGCAAACTTTGTTCCTGTAAAACTTTTATGTCCTATGTATTTGTCAATGACGGCAGAAAGTTTCGAATTGGAAGATGCAACTGGTGAAAGTATTGTATTACAAGAACAACTTCAACAACAAATAGCTCAAGAACAACAAATGCAACAAATGCAACAACAAAGTCAAGAATAAAAAAATATTTTTTTTTTTTATAAAAATGTACAGAATAGATGTTTCAGATTTTTATGACTTCCAAGCATTCAGAAATATGTGTCCATTTCGAGACTATAACAAAGCAGTCGAGAATTTGAAACGTTTAGTCATTTATGTCGACTCTGCCCCAGAATGTTATGTCATGAAAGAATGGATGTAGTCTTTAACAAACCAAGAGCAACAATAGTTTCAGAACAAGAATGTAGACAGAAACTTAAGAAAATAAAAGTTGTACAAGTTGGCATGAAGATGTTAGATGCTTGGGATATCTTATTGTCAAAGTTAGAAGATTTTTCAGTTCGAGGTATAAAGTTCTTACACCTTCTCCAAACTTCTATTCTATCTTCACTGGATATAAATATGAACAAGTAGAATGGAAAGAAAATATTATAGAAGCTTGGTTAGACCATGTCAAAGAAATTATATGCAATGGAAACGAAAGAGTCTATGAGTATATCTTATGTTGGTTTGCAAACATCTACAACATCCAAGTGCCTAAAAAGAAACTGCTCTCATTATAATTGGAAAGCAAGGAACTGGTAAGAACAGCATTCTTTACAGATATTTTGTGCAAACTGTTAGAAGGTTATTCGAATCCGAATATGACAAACTTAGAAAACATCTGTGGCAAGTTTAACTCCTCAATAGAGAATATGAAACTTATAGTATGTAACGAACTTCAAAGTATAGATACAACAAAAGTTTAAACTCAGATGCTTTGAAGAGTCTTATAACAGACAAAGTTGGAGTTGTTGAAAGAAAGTATAAAGACCAAAGAGTTTGTGAAAATGTTGCAAACTTCATTATGGTTTCAAACAATACTGTTCCGATGAAGTTAGAAAGTTCTGACAGAAGATATGTAGTTGTCAGAACGTCAGATTCTCATATGCAAGATACAGAATATTTTGACGACTTAGCAGAAACTTTGACATCTGACTTTTACAACCACTTGTTCTCATATTTTATGACATTAGATATTTCTAAGTTCAATCCAAGACAAATTCCACATACCGAAGAGAGACAAACATTGTTAGAAGCAAACAAGAGTGTATATGAACTGTTCATAGATGAAACTGACTTTGTGTCATTAGATGAAAGGTCATTGTACGATTCGTATAAACAATATTGTCAAGAATATGGTTATATGGCAGCTTCTAAACGTACATTCTTGGCAAATGTCAAAAGTCTTTTAGACGTACAGAATGGTGTATATACAAAGAAAAATTTTTATGAGTAAATTTTAAAAAAAAATATTTTTTTTATCCGATAGAAAAGATGACAAAATTCATCTCAGTAAACAAGTACATGTCAGGACTTAAAGAAGAACTAGACCCATTCACATATTTGAATGTTTACTTCTACCATTTTGAAAAGTCTTCATTCAGCAAAGTTTGGAACATCGAACCAGTTAAGTTTGCTATTGTGACTAAAAATGGTGCGAAATTTGAAGACTTAGACATAGAAGGTTTGTTAGCAGTCAAAGAAAATTTTGACAGAAGGTTCTCAAACCTTAAAGAAGGCAAAGCATACAAACTTGTTATACCTTATGAACCAAAGAAAGCAGACGACTATGAATATTATGAGTCTAAGATAGTTGAAGTTCAAGGTAAATTGGGTAAAAAGATTTTAGAGTCTAAGCCAGTGTTTGCTCCTAAAGAGGAAGAGAACATTGACATTGACCCAGAAATGTTCTAAAAATAAAATTTTATTTTTACATGTCAAATTTCTTTTTCTCTGGAACTGGTTCAGGTTCTTTCTTCTCTTCTACTTTCTTCTCTTCTTCTACTTTCTTTTCTTTCTTTTCTCTCTTCTTCTTCTCTGGTGGAGTTATGTCAAATTTGGCGCAACCATATTTATGTAAAAGTTCTTTGTCCTTTAATAGCTCATCTATTCTGTTTTCTATTTCATCTTCAAGAACAGCGCATGTGTCTTCTTTGCATTCTAAGAACTTTTGTTGGACTTCATCTTTCCAATCGGCGTCATCTCTGTCAACAAGTCTGTCATTGACAAATTTTAAGACTGCTCTTTGTAATGTTTTATGGTTCTTGTCATATTCCCAGAAACAGAACTTTAGAACAAATTCACCTTTCTTGTTTACACTATGTAAGATTTTATGGTCGACAGATGTTTTGCTGTCGAAAAGCTTGTCTCGAATATAGATAGCGAAATCGCTAGACATTTTCTAAAAGATAAAAATTTTAATTTTTCTAAAAATATGTTAGAAAAAAAGTTTGCTGACATTGACAAGAAATTTGAGAATGTTTTAAATAAGAACAAGAGGAAGTTAGAAAATGCTCAGATAAAGCCTATACATGACAAGTTCTTATTTGCTCAGAATGGTATAACAGGTCTAATTGCACCACCTGGGTCGGGTAAGACTTTCACTTATCTTAAAATGGCTGCACAACAACAAGAACTAGATGAGAAGAACCCATTCTATGAGTTAGTAGTCATTTGTAGTACTTCTGGTCAATTTGACCAAACCGTCAATTCGTTCAAAGATATTATAAAGAAGTCTAAGTTAGTATGTATAAAGGATACTGAGTTGTTAGATTGGATAAAGAAGTACCAAAGAAGAGTTTTGAAGTATAATGCTATAAATGAGTATATAAATTCTAAGTTCAAAGACCCTAATGAGGAAATGCAGAGAATATTAGAGAAGAAACACTTCAGAAACAAACAGAAAGAGATAGAATACATTTCGAAGAAATTGCAATCTTACGATTGGAAGACTTACCCTCATAGGTGTCTTCTTATCTTAGATGACTTTGCTTCTCATCCTTTGTTAAAGAATAGAGAACAAGATATGTGTCGAATTCTTAAGAAGCTCAGACACTTTAACATCTCAGTCGTAATATGTGTACAGACAGCAAAGAGTTTAAGTAAGGATGTAAAGAGAATACTTACTGACATTATACTTTTCCCCGGATTGTCCGAAGACGATTTCATGGAACTTATGAAAGAGTCCATGGCAGGTAAGTTTGACAGACATGAACTATGGGAGAAGTACAAAGTCATACAAGACCCTCATACTTCTTTCAGAATTCATATCTACGCAAACAAAGTTCAAATTGTAAAAAGTCAAGCTTGAAAAATAAATGGTTCATTTACTCTGCTTGTTTGAAGTTGTCAAAATACTCTGTTATTTTTTCTTTCAGTAGCGGTAAGTCTTCTTTGAAGGTAAGTATTGTACAACCTTTAATATCATAGTGTGTTTGAGGTAACGTATCTTGAACTATTTGTTTCACATCTTCATTTGGAGTCATTGAAATCGGTAAGTTTTCGCGATAGAACCAATTTCTGTCAGATTTGTAAATCTTAGCAAGGTCGTAAAAGCTTTTGTTGTTTCTTCTGACTAAATGCAACATAACCATATCTTTATCTTCTTCATTTTCCATCTCTTCAGTATAAATCATATACTTATAGTTCTTTTCCTTTCCTTTTGGTACCGAACGTGGTATTCTTTTCTGAATGTTTTTGTCTTTTGCTTCAAGCTTGTTCTCTAGCTCTTCACGTTCTTGTCTATGAATTTCATCTAACATCATGAAAATATAACAAGCGTAACGAGGTGAAGCCCACATTGCAACAGCATTTACAAGAAGTCTATGTACATACCAGCCTCTCAAACCATTTAGCAAATTTTTACGATTTTCGTACGGAATCTCGACCCTCGGTTTTCCGAGGGTCGCAAACATATGAGGAAATTCTTCTAAAAGTTCTTTTGTCTGTTGGTTTTCAAACCAATGATATGCTTGCTTTGTAGAACGAAGAGCATTCAAAATACTTTGCATCTGGTACATATCGTCTTTGACCGAACGAATGAGACGGAGTTGTTTGTTAAACTGTATGTACTCGTATTCTTCATTTATAGCTTCATGGACTATAACTGTTGTTGTGTTCTCTGTTGTTGACATATCTGTCTTTACATACAAAATAAAAAAATAAATAAAAATAAAACTAACTTTATTTTTTCTGTCTTTCACAAAAGACCAAAAATAAACGCTTTACATGTATTTTTCAGCAACTTCGTCAAATAATTTTATAGCTTTATCTATCTCATCTACTTCAAACGTTTCTTTACCTTTCGTGGGAGCACCATACATTTTCTCAAACTTTTCAAGTAGTTCTGTTTCAGCAGCTCTCATATCGTTAACAAACACAACCTTGACTCTATTGACTGTACTGTCATATCTTTGAGTTATATTATATGTTCTTCCTATCTTATATCTCTTTGTATTGAAGTCCTTCGGTTTCTGAACGATGTAAAGTAAGCCTTCACTGCAACGTTCTGAGTCGAACGAACCATATGTTATGAAGTTATATCCAACAACTGGGTCTAACCATAACAAAACTATTGGTATAAGACTTTTGTCAATGAGATATGCTGCAGTTCCATAGAATCTTACCGATATCATAAGCTCAGGATTTCTTGTCAAAATTTTCTGAGTAGAAGCAATTTTAACCCAGTCGTTTGTTTTCTTTCCAGATGGAGATATAATGTCTGACAAAGAATATTTGTTGTATTTCTTTGAGTATCTTACGTTTAAATCACCAATTCTAACCAATTTAGTGTTATTGTCTATCTTTTTAACTGTTTCAAACTCAGTGTTTGTCATTTTTGTTCTTACATACAAAATAAAAAAAATATTTTATAAAAAACTAACTTTATTTTTTCTGTCTTAAGGAAATTCATGATTTTCATAGAGTTTTGGCGACCCAGAAAAAAAAAAAACGGTCTCGCTGTGCTTCATGATTTTCATGTGTTTTAGGCAAGGCCGGTAAAATCCGGTCTAGAGAAATTTCACGATTTTCATGAGTTTTAGGCGACTAAGTTTTTTTTCCCTGGTCGCTGTTCTTCACGATTTTCATGTGTTTTAGGCAAGGCCGGTAAAATCCGGTCTAGAGAAATTTCACGATTTTCATACGGAATCTCTTCTCTCGGTTTTCCGAGGGAAGCAATCTTATGCCATTTTACTCAGATTTTTGGTCATTTTTCAGTAAAAATAATGTTTAGGGTAGAAGGTTAGATCTAACCTCTTTTCTCACCTGTTTTCTCACCTGTTTTCTAACATGGTCTAAAACGCACAAAACTCATGATTTTTGGTCATTTTTCAGCAAAAATAAAGTTTAGGGTAGATGGTTAGATCTAACCTCATTTCTACCCTCTTTTCTACCCCAGTTATTTTATAAGCGTTTCACATGGTAAACGTTATTTTTAAAATTTTGTGAAAACTCAACGGTTTGACACATGCCCTAAAAATTATTTTACTCAGAATTTTGTTGCTGAATTCAGTAAAAATAAAGTTTAGGTGAAGAGGTGAGATCTCACCCGTTTTCTCACCTGTTTTCTCACCTGTTTTTTTATAAGCGTTTTACATGAATTGTACGATGTATATTTGAAATCCTAAACAGTTTTGTAGCTTCTATTTCTTCGCTGAGGATATCGAATGTTTTAACTATGCCGAAGGTCTCTTTATACTTCTTCTTGACGTCAGACAGAAGGAAATCGTCAGCAGTTGGATAGTTTTTGTTCAGAAATGTCAACATGTCCATTTTATCTTCTGCTGGTTTCTCTGCTTCTTTCTTTAAGTCAGCATAGTCGTTTCTCATACGTTCTATCTCTTTGACGGAGTAGTTATATTTCCTAATTGCCGCTTTACATTTTGAACATTGCGGGTTCATTTTTGCGTTATATTCTGAAACCTTACCTGCTAAAACAACTAAGGCGTCAATGGTTTTCTTTAAATCTGAAACAGTTGGTCTTATCTGTTCATTCCATACCTTACCTCTTCTATCTTTATCTCTTATCTGCCATACACATTCAGCAACTAACGAAACAAAGTTGTCGTAGGTCTTAAACTCCCGGGTTTTGTAAAGGTCAGAGATGTTCTTATATACCATGTCGCAATCTTTGTCCATAACCTTATGGTTGCAATGAAATCCTAGAAACTCATAGTTTACCTTTCGTATGAACTTCTTTATTTCTACTGAGTCAGTTGCTTTGACTTCTATTTCATCGAATTCAGGAATAGTGAGTTTTTGTTGTTGGATTTCAGGTAGTTTAGGTAAATGGTCAATAATGTCCTGCATTTCATAAAGATACTGTTCATTTGTTTCATCTTTCGCACTACAGTCTAAATTACATGTTAAAAGTTCTTGCTTTATCTTCTGGATTTCTGTTTCGAAAGTATATGAAGAAGGAATGAAGCTTTTCATCTCTACTAACATAGATGTTGGATTCATAACTAAAGAGTTTGGTGAAGTTGTTGCTAACATGTTCTTACAATAAAAATAAAAAATATTTTTTTAAAAAAACTAACTTTATTTCATCTGTCTTAAGGAAATTCATGAAAATTCATGAGGGTAGAAAAGAGGTTAGAAAAGAGGTTAGATCTAACCTTCTACCCTAAACTTTATTTTTGGGTCCTTTACACTCATTACGAAGAAGTCTTGACAAACCATGTACGAAGAAGTTTTGACAAAACATGTACGAAGAAGTCTTGACAAAACATGTACGAAGAAGTCTTGACAAAACATTTACGATGAAATCATGACAAATTCATGAGGTGAAAAAAGAGGTGAAAAAACAGGTGAGATCTCACCTCTTCACCTAAACTTTATTTTTGGGTCCTTTACACTCATTACGATGAAGAAGTTTTGACAAAACATGTACGAAGAAGTTTTGACAAAACATGTACGAAGAAGTCTTGACAAAACATGTACGATGAAATCATGACAAATTCATGAGGTTAGAAAACAGGTTAGATCTAACCTCTTCACCTAAATTATATTTTTGGGTTCTTTACACTCATTACGAAGAAGTCTTGACAAAACATTTACGAAGAAGTCTTGACAAAACATGTACGAAGAAGTTTTGACAAAACATGTACGAAGAAGTCTTGACAAAACATGTACGATGAAATCATGACAAATTCATGAGGTTAGAAAACAGGTTAGATCTAACCTCTTCACCTAAATTATATTTTTGGGTTCTTTACACTCATTACGAAGAAGTCTTGACAAAACATTTACGAAGAAGTCTTGACAAAACATTTACGAAGAAGTCATGAAAATTCAAGAGGGTAGAAAAGAGGTTAGAAAAGAGGTTAGATCTAACCTTCTACCCTAAAATATATTTTTTGGTCCGGGAACAACTTTCTCTCAATTGGAGCTGTAGCATAATCTTTGCGTAAACGGTTCAGACCTTCTTCGAACTCTTGGGCTCTCTTCGATTGGGATTGAGATTGGAATTGCTGGGGTGGAGCTTGCTGGAACATCCAAGGGTTGGGGCAGTAAGGCATAGGCTGAGGAGGGTAGTTCGGGAAGCCTTGTGGTGGGTAGTAACCTTGAGGTGGAAATTGGTAGAAATTCGGAGGTACTTGCTGGAACTGAGGTTGCTGAGGAGACTGTTGTGGTTCTTTAGGTTCCTCTGGTTTGGGAATGGACTGGGTTGGTGGGACGTGGGACATTCGTTTGTGGCTTAACCGTCGGACCACCAACGATAAAAATCTCTGCTACTAGCAGTACTGCTACTGACAGTAGCAGTACTTTTACTGACAGTAGCAGTACTTTTACTGACAGTAGCAGTACTTTTACTGACAGTAGCAGTACTTTTACTGACAGTAGCAGTACTTTTACTGACAGTAGCAGTACTTTTACTGACAGTAGCAGTACTTTATCGTCGAAAACCCTCTCAAATTTTCCTTTTTACTGACAGTAGCAGTACTTTTACTGACAGTAGCAGTACTTTTACTGACAGTAGCAGTACTTTTACTGACAGTAGCAGAGATTTTTATCGTCCAACTTTACAAATGTAAACTTATATCGTTCTATTTTCTTCACTAGGGTCTAACACCAAAGTTACCTATGTACATGAAATTTCACTGCATAAAAGGAAAAAACCTGCGCGAATCGGGATTTGAACCGAGGTCTTCGACGCCTTTAACGAGGTAGCCCATACCACTGAGCTATGAGCCGCTTACATATTCACAAAAATAAATTGTTTTCATGAGTTTTCTACGATGTTAGAAAAAATGTTATTTTCTAATATCTTCACATTCAATACTTTTTCAGCACTTTTCCGTAGTTATATATGAAAGACAATTCGAGATAAAAGTCATAGTACAATGGAATAATATGTTGCACACCATTTGTTGTGAACCAAACTTGAAAGTCAGAGAAACTGTTACTAGGGGTTCGTAGAATTTAGAAGCAAAGTCATAAAAGTCTTACCAATACATAGAAAACTATTGTTGCTTGAACTGAAACTTGCATGACACATAACATTTTGAGGTCAAACACGTTTCTATAAACTGTCAAATCTGCTGGTGGAAGTATAAATTTAAATGGACCATCTGGTGGTAATGGTTCGTTCTGGTTTAGTAACCGAAGAAATTGTGCCCAAGAACGTTTGTCTACTTCCCAAAATAAAACTCTGTATCTCTTGGAGGGTTAATTTCAATCTTTTGAAATGAAACGGTGGAGTTCATCTTGTCATATTCTAGTTTCAGATAGTATGTTCCATTTAGTAAAGAGTCGTATTTTTCTTGAAATTCCCAATAATATTTGTTCATTTGAGTTTGAAAGTCATTTAGAGTTTTCTCAAGACTTTCGTCTGAACGAACTGTAAAGATTCTCATTTCGTCAAATTTGTCTATTAGACCATCAGAACCTTTATACTGCCCATGAAAATATACTACGAACATAAATGCGTTAGTTCTATTTGAAAACAAAACTCTTCTAAATCCTATTGCCTTTGCATCTGAAGGACTTTGAAGCCAACGAATTGGATAGTCAAACCTGTATGTTCGGGATGAAATTTCTTCATCTGATATTGTCCTACCAGCATTTGTAAAGATATAGTCTAACGGTTTTGTATCTGCTACTTTTGTTCTTTGTTTTTCAACCTGAAGCATTTAATATATGTAAAAATATATTGTTTTAAAATGGTATGCCATATAGCTTCTTGAATTTGTTAAGAAGTATTTGAACGTTTTTTCCATCTGTATCTCTAGTGTTTACATAAGCATAGCCCGCCTTAGTAAAATATACTTGTAATTTCCTATAGTTTACGCCGGTATAAAAGTAGAAAGAGTCTTGTTCTTCGCTATAGTAGTAAAACTCAAACGTATGCTTGCCATAGTCTGTAATTTCAATTGTTTCATCGTCTAGTTCGTCGACAAATTCGAATACAATATCTCCAAATTTGCCTTTGTTCTTATTGTTTTCAGAAAGAGTGACCCAACGTAAGTTTTCAAGTCTATTGTCGTTTCTTATATGGTTTATATGGTCTATAAAAGGTAAATTGTTAGGATTCAGTATAAAATGAGTTGCAATGACAACATGTTTAAGATAGTGTTTTCCACCCATACTAACTATAGCATATCCGTCATTCCCCTCCCATTCGCTTAAAACTCTTTTTGTCTTTTTGTTTCTGACTTCAAATGACTCACAACAGTGAATTTCATATTTCTCATCTAACAAACAAGTTTCCCAACGGTCTTCTCCAACAAACTCAGCGTACATTTCAAATAAAATTAAAAAATGTCACTTTTTTAAAAATAAATTTTTTATTTCATGCAATGTTCACTAACATCGAAAGGCATGTTCATAAGACGTTCTTCTTCTAACCTCTCTAGTCTGTTTGGATAATTTGCACGTGCTGTTTCCAAATCCATTTCGTAGCGAAGACCAGCCAGTTTGTCATAGACTTTTATGGGTCTTCCCTTCCTATATTTAAAATTCTTCGAAACTCTCCAACCATATCTTTGCAACTCTGCTTTTATTCTAGCAGATTTTCTATCCATTCTATATGGGGGCATTTTTATAAAAATAAAAAAATGTTTTTTTCTTTACTTAACATAACCGCCTGCTGCCATAAGTCTTTGACGCCAACCCATACCAGCTAATGAAGGTTGACTTGGTTTAGTTTCCAAACTAAACTTTGGTTTTGGTTTCTCTTCTTCTATCGGTTTTTCGTCACTTTTCGGTTTTTCGTCACTTTTCGGTTCCTTTGACTTTACCTCACCAGCAGGAACAGTTGTGTCGTCAACATCTTCATAAATATCATATGCCATTTGTTTTTGTTTTCCTTTCAACTTTTTGTGTTTGTTGTAAAGTTTAGAATATTTCGACTCTAAGTCAATGAGATGTTCTATAATGAACTGTTGGTCAGTGAAGTAAACTTTTCCATCTGTTGTCTCGAAAGCTCCTTCAGACTTCAATATTTTATTTGTGAGAGTCTGTTTCTTTTTTGAGATACTAGCCGTTCCATTTCTATGAAAAGTGACTTTATAGTTGGGGTTTGTATTTCCAGACCTGGCACTTTCTATTATTGAATTTTTCTCTTCATCTGTAAGTTCTTTGACGGGTTTTGACAATGGTTCTGAACTTTTTGTTTGTGGTGTCAAATCTACCGTTTCAACTTCTTCGGTCATTTCAGGTCAGTAAAAAATTTTAGTTTGGTTTGTTTTCAACTGGTTGTTTAGGTTTTTTAAGTCGGTCTAAAACTTCCTGAGGTATAGGAAGAACTTGACAAACACGTTGTGTAACTGCTGGAAGTCGACAAATCCATCTTGAACCCATTTGTCTCAATGCTGAATTGTTCATTTCATCTCAGTAAAAAACTTTACATTCCCCAAGTTTGAGGTGGTTGCGGTTGGTTATTGTTTACCCACTGTTGTGCATGGTTATATCCTCTGTTAAAGAATCTTTCACCTTGGTCCATATAGTGTCCTGCTTGGTTATAGTAGTCATTTGCTTTGTTATAATAGTTTCCTGCTTGTCTTCCTACATTGTCCATCCATCCTTGAACTTTTCCTCTTGTTTCAGGATTTGGAATAAGATTTGCTGCATCTCGTGCTACATCCCAACCTTTCTGTACAGTTTGTATAATAGGTTGTGCTTTCTCTTTAAGTATACCTAATGTACTCAAAATCTTCCTTCCAACTCCAAATACACCTCTGGCTATTGTTCCCACTGCGGGCAAAAATCTGGATGCAACTCCTGCTAATGCGCCAAATAAACCCATTTCTTATGGGTTAAAAAATGACGAATCCAAACAAGGACCCTATGTTTCTAAGGCAACAAAAAAAGCACTCATGGTAAAAATCTTTAGTTCAACACCAAATGCTTGGTTTATGGATATCTTGGAAAACATTCCGAGAGTTAGAACAGATGGACCACCATACTGGCTAATATTTGTTGGTCAAAACACAAGATACTGTGAAGCCATACCATTATGGTCCAAAAATATTTTAGATGTGAAAACTGCTTTGACAATATTCGTTGACAAATACCATCCAACAAAACTGACATCTGACTGTGAAAGTTCTTTCAAATCAGATGATGTAAAAAAACTATCTGCGTTCAAAAAATGTAAACCAATATTTCATTGTCGACCAAAACCATTCTGCTCTTGGTGTCATTGACGGTTGTATAAAAATGTTAAGAGACTTAAACCAACCACAAGGTGGTGAAGCAAATGAAATGTCATATGACGACAAATATAGACACTTCTCCATGGCAAAGATGAGACAAGTTTTAAATATTTACAATAGCCGTAAACAAAAAGGTTTGGGAAACCACTCCCCCGAAAAATGAAAAACAACCCTGACTTAGAGAAAGACTATATTTAATAATTTAGTCAAAGAGACAAACAAGAAAGAATGCCGGGCTTCAAACTTCAGAAAGGTGACAAAGTAAAAATAGAAATACCTAAACGCGACCCATATGAAAATACTATTGACTATGACAACAATGGGAACTCGACAGGTACTCACATTCGTGTTCGTAAAAATAGAAGAAAGTATACAAGAGAATATTATGAAGTTTTAGGCAAACATGGCAAAATGTACACACTGCAAGCAGAAGATAAAACTACTATTGTCAGACCTCGTTTCAAACTTGTCAAAGTTCAAGGTGGTATACTTTCAAAGACAGTTCCTAACAAATATAAGACAACTCTGACCAATATGCTAAAGAAGTTGAAAATGACGACTAAGCAATTCTATACCATGCGTAAACTGTCATGTAAGGTGGCATATTCTTTACTTTGTCCCGTTGTTTGCGTATATCCTGAAACGAAATGTGTATGGTTTCCTTCTCCCTGAGTGTCATCCAGTAACAATTTATAGCAAACTTAACGTCGTCTTTAACATCATTCCTTGACCTTTTGTCATTCCTGACCAATCCCAATATCTATGCTTATGCCAACCTGCTTGAGATGTACTTAAATCTATGTAGTGACTGTGTGCAGGTAAATTTTCACCTGAAATCGTTTTACTTCCACCTGTTTCCTTTGAAGAGTTTGCACAATTACAAAAACTGTTCGACTTGAGGACCTCTTGCTTCCATCACCAAACATTACTTGAGGACCTCTTGCTTCCATAGATGTATAAATAGAACCTACTGGGTTCATTAAATCAAACATATGAGATAATATAGGATTGTCTCTTTTGAACTTAAAATA